AACCCTGGCTGGTGGCCATCTTCGCGACTGATTTCCCGGGTGAACACTGGCACCCGGAGGGAATCAACGCCGCCTTCTAGAAGATAGGGACCATCGTGGAGATTGCCCTCGAGTGCCTCTTTGATGATGACTACTCCGTGCTTCGCGTTGCGGTCGCCAGGGTCAAGCCGGACAGCATCTTCGAGGACTAGTGGATCGAGAACCCTGGTCGGGGGCCGTAGGGACGTGTCCTCGGCTCCTCCTTCACTATCTCCGTCCTCTAGGTCTGGCCCTAGGTGGAACAAGTTGACGAGATGGGCAACCTCTGCCCGTTGTTCCCATGCCCGCCTGGTCCTGCAAATGGCGGCAACGCTCCCCCTGGCTTCCATGGGCCGCCCATCGCTTTCAGGCCTATCCTCCACGGCGCTATTATTGGCCAGCTTGGGGGCCTAGGCTTCTTCCTAGGCTTCGGCTACTACTACCACGGGTTTGAACTCAAACCCCCACTTCTTGTTCCTTATTGTGCTCCTCTTCTCACCCTTCCTTCCGTCATCGCTGACAGGCTTCTCGGTGCGGCTGCTCCTCCCGAACCTCTCCTCGCCCTCCCTTGGTATGAAGTTGATAACGTTCCCCCTCCACCACCGCCATCTTCGGCTGACAACAACAACCTTTCGGCCCCACGTGGGTGGGGGTGCCGACCTCGTCAGTCGTCCGCCTAGTGCAACAGTGCTCGCCTCGCTGAGAAGGAGCCTGAGGCCTTCGTCCTGGTGGTAGCCAAGGCCACCCAGCTCAAGGCATTTCATGAGAGCCTAGTCACCTACTCTGTCGCGCTTAAGAAGCAGGTCAAGGGGCACAAGCTACTGAAGCACAGGACCCCCCTCGGTGCGCTTGACATCAAGCGCCTGGCCAAAGCCGCTGGCGTCATCTATTCTGGCACTCAGGCGGTGGATATGGTCGAGAGGAGCATCATCATCGCCCCATGATTGGGCTCCTCTGGGAGCCTCAATGACCCTAGGGTCACAGCCCACCGTGTCGCACACCTCACCCCAAACCGAGTCACCAGTAGTGTGTTGTCTGTCAGTGTGCAGGACATTTCTCCAACCGCTCCGGCTGCATCCATGAAGGTGGCTGCCTTTGTGATTCCACCACGGGGTCCTTTCTATTCTTATCTTTGTGTCATTGTAATCCCTTAGGAGTTGTAACTGTTCATCTATGAATCAACATCGCTTCATCTTCTCCATCAAGTCCTGGAACGTCCGTGGCCTTGGTCGCTAGGACAAATGCGATGCTATCTAGGACACCATATCCATCTCTCACCCTCACATCATCTGCTTGCAAGAATCTAAACTCCACAACATTGACACTCACAAGTGCAAGTCCTTTCCCCCTATCTCACCGGTTTTGACTTTGTCCCCGCAGACGGCTCTAGGGGGCATCCTCATTGCCTGGGACACCATAGTCATTACGGCGGGCACCCCGACCTAGACTACCTACTCCCTTACCATCCTTTTCACCTCGACCACCTCCGCTTAGTACTTTTCCATCACCAACGTTTACGCCCTCTTGGATTATAAGGACACATATGCTTTCCTTGCGGACCTTGGTGCCCTGTCGCCCACCAGCGACACGAACTGGCTCGTCATCGGAGACTTCAATCTCACCTACGCCCCTGCGGACAAAAACAATGCCAACTTCAATCAAAGGCTAGCATCCAAGTTCAACTCGGCGATTGATGGCCTCACCCTAATCAAGCTCCCCCTCTTAGACCGACTTTACACCTGGTCTAACAAGAGAGCAACGCCCACTTTAGCCATGCTCGACCATGCATTCATCAACGAGGAGTTTGCTCAACTTTTCTCCAACTCCAACCTAACTCCCATCTCGTCTCCACTTCGAACCATGTTCCTCTGATCCTCACCACGCCCACCTCCATCCCCAAATCCTTCCACTTCCGCTTCAAAAATGCATGGCTCAAAAATCCCACCTTCCTCTCTTCTATCCTCCCGGCCTGGTCTGGAGCTTTTGTTTCGTCGGACGCGACTGGCGGCCTGGTGGGATGGATCAAGGCTCTTTGCCATGGAGCCAAGGTCTGGTCTAGGAAACACCGCGCCTGCCCCCGATGACTATAATAATGCCTCCTTTATTGTGTTGCTCCTGGACATCTATGAGGAGTCCAGGGTGCTACCCATAGGTGAACGGCGCTTGCGCGAGCTGTGTCGAGACCAGCTTGCCATGCTCATTGCCCAATGGGCCGCATACTAGAAGCAGCGAGGAAAGTTCTGTGCACTCCGGGAAGGCAACGCCAACATGAAATTCTTCCACGCCAAGGCTCCTGCAGAGCGCGTCGGAACGCAATCCGTGCTCTAGAGGTGGACGGTGCTCAATTGATCAGTCACGATGACAAGATGGCCGCGCTCACCGCCTACTCACCAACATCCTAGGCAGTGAGGTGGCCATGACCTAGAGCTATGACCTCGACCAACTATACGCCAGAGCCCAGCGCGCAGACCCGACGCCGCTCATCACCCCATTCACTGAGCAAGAAGCGCTCCGCGCGGTGCGCGCCATGGCAGTGGACAACGCGCCCGGCCCCTGATGGCATCAGGACTGGTTTCTACTCGGTGGCCTGGGAGACCATCAAAGGCGACGTCGTGCTCTTCCTACAAGCTTTCCATCGTGGTGAAGCCAATTTGCAAAACATCAACAAAGCGGTCATCGTCTTGATCCCCAAGACGGAGGCGGCCACGTCGCCCGCCGCGTTTCGGCCGGTGTCACATCAAAATTGCCCCGTCAAGATCCTGAACAAGCTCCTAACCTCCAGGTTGCAGTTGCAGATCACCAAGCTCGTTGACACAGACCAAACCGGCTTCATCATGGGGAGATCCATCGCTGAGAACTTCGTCCTCGCAATAGATCGGTCCAGTGCTGCCACAAACACCGAGCACCAACTCTAGTGATCTAGCTAGACTTCACGAAGGCCTTTGATTCTGTGAACTTGGCGAGCCTCCTCAAGATCCTGCATGCGCGTGGCTTCCCCAACAAGTGGTGTGACTGGATGTGCCAGCTCCTGGTCACATCCAAGTCAGTGGTGCTCCTAAATGGGGCTCCCGGACCTTGGATAACCTGCAAGAGGGGGCTCAGGCAAGGGGACGCGCTGTCGCCGTACCTTTTACTGCTGGTCGTAGACGGACGACCTCCAATCCCTGATCAAAGCAGATGCGGTGATCAAGCACCCAATGACTAGCGGCACATCCCTCGTGCTCTAGTACGCCGACGACACCATCATTCTGCTTCGCACCGACATGGATAGCGTCCAGTGCCTGAAGCTCGCCCTCGACAGCTTCTCCGCAAGCACTATCAACTTTGGGAAGAGCACGACCATGCTAATGCATGTCCCCCCCCGCCGATCTACAGGGCTATATGGATGTCCTGCAATGCAAGGAAGGGAAGTTTCCCCAGATATACCTAGGGCTCCTCTCAAACGTCAAGCTGCCGGTCTTAGCCTTCGCCCCGCTCATAGCCAAGGTGGATAGGTACCTCGCTAGCTGGAAGGCTCTCCTCCTAAGTACAGCCGACAGGCTGGTGCTGATCAACGCCGTGCTGGATGGGCTACCGACGTATGCCATGGGCGCCATGGTGCTACCCCCAGGGGTTGTCAAAACACTGGACGCGCGTTGGCCCGCATTCTTGTGGATAGGCACGGGCACGGCCTCCGGCACACAATGCCTCATCGCTTGGGAGGACGTTTGCAAGGACAAGGAAGATGGCGGGCTGGGGATCAAACGCATCGACACCCAGAACGCCTGCTTGCTGCTCAAGCTTCTACACCGGCGGCTCTGCATGGGCTCTCTGGGCCACGGAGCACGTCAACCGGGCGGACCTGAGTGGCGTGCTCCACGGCACGCATTGGGCGGCGCTCCGTGACCTGCTCCCAGCATACCAGCACATCACCAAGGTCTCGATCGGGGATGGGTGGAGTGCGGACTTTTGGAGGGACTGCTGGCTGGTTGATGTGCCGCTGACCAATCGGCTCTCGGCCCTCTATAGCCACTACGTCGCCCGTGGTACAACGGTGCGCGACGTCGTGCGTGCAAACCTGCGTGATCTGTTCCACCGCCAGCTGACACCCCAGGCATCGGTGGAGGTTGATCAACTCTCTGAGATGCTCTAGGAAGTGACACTAGGCTTGGAGCCGGACGAACGCTGCTGCTTCTTCGAGGATGGCGGGCACCGGCTGTTGTCGGGGCTCATCTACAAAGCCTCGACGCGTGGTGACCATGACTGCACCTCCTACTTTTTCGTTTGGAAGAACTTCACCGCACCGCGCGTCAAATTCTTCGGATGGCTCTCACACAGGGCAGGATCCATTGTCGTGCGGCCCTGGCCTGCACACACATCCTCGACGATGCAACTTATGAAATTTGCAAATCAACAGAAGACACGGCGGATCACATCTTCTCGGAGTGTTCATTCATCCAATCTTTCTGGACGAGCATCAGCTGGCACCCAGGCAACATCGCCATGGTAAACGAGCTGTGGAACACGCAGCCTCCCCCGAGGTCCTGCACCCCCTGCTTCTATTTCTCTGCTGGGAAATTTGGAAGCACAGAAACGATGTTGTCTTCCGTGGACTACCGCCCGACGTTGTCCGGCTCACCTCGGCGTGCAGAGAATCTATCAAGAACCTGAGCTGTCGCATTCCGAGAAAAGAGGTAACTATAGCTAATAGCTGGAGACAAACGCTTTCTATGTAATCTAAACGCCCCTCATCCATGTAATCCTCTGTTGTAACTGTGCAAAGCTCTGCCTTCCACCAACCGAGTTCTGCCGGGTATCTATGGAATGGAATGCAGGTGGGGATCCGTTTTGATCCCCGAAGTTGACCTAAAAAAATATGCCCTTTATTTCAATGTATAATTTATATAGGTGGGTCGGTCGACGACCAAATTAGTCACTCACGGTTACACGCAGAAGCAGCACCCACCTTCAGAAGCAACCCCTCTGCTCTGCATGGCTGCATGTCATGTCGCTTTTAAAGCCGGAGGGCAGCTGTCCTTGACGCACGCTAACACGTCCCTGTACTCTCTGTGCATAGTGAAGCTATCGTACACCTTGCCGTCGCTGGACCGTTTGTACTCGTAGAGAAGGGACGAGTAGTTGAATGCCGTGAGCTTGACGAAGCCGTAGTCCATCTCCCTGTAGACGCTCCACGCCGGGACCTGGATGGTGAAGTTGCTCAGGTGGCTGCCGGCGCCCCCAACGACGACGTGGATGGTACCGTTCATGATGCCAGAGTAGTGGGACTTCTCTGAGCTCATGCATTGTTCCTGCACAGCAAAAGTTCTGTTTCAGTAATTATTAGCACGCGTTCTAAATTGTACTTGCAATTTGGAACAGGATGGAGTAATAAACTTGTGGTGGAAGAAAGGAGGAGCAGCAGAGGTACCTCATAGACAGGGCATGTCCTCTCGTAGTTGTGGACATGGCCGTAGAACGCCAAGTCCACCCTATACTTCTGCCAGAGCTTCTGGAGGCTTTGCCGGGACATTGGCTCAGCGAACGATCTGTCTCTGCCGTAGAAGAAACCGGACGAGTAGCCGAGGACGCGATGAGCGATGAATATCAGCCACGGCTGTTTCTTCCGGTCGACCGTGGCGAGGCAGTTCTCGATGAACTTGTACTGCTCCGTGCCTTCCCGCCAGTCGTGCTCGCTGTCCGCAACGCAGAACCGGAACATGCCATAATCTGTGGAGTACCTGTTGAACAAGACCAAAAGGTTTTGTGTCCGGTGAAATGTCACCGTTGACGATCCAGCAATGTTCATATATGATAGATTGAGTTGCACTGCATACCAGTAGTTTGCTCTGTTTTCTGTAGGCGTATAGTACATGGTCTCAGCTAACACACCACACTCCCCTCCAGAGTCTGTTCCATTGAAGTATGACCCACTGTTGGGCCAATCTCGTTCATGATTCCCACTGAATCAGGCAAAGCAAGCTGGTATCAATCACCGGAGATTTCTGAAAGACTTCTAAAGGGACTGAGTAGTTTCAATTACAGGGGGAAAAAGAACTCAAAAGATTATAAACCTCGCAATCATGTAAGGGACTCGTGAAGTGATCTCTTCCACTTGTTGTGTGAACTGATCCCATTGTGAAATGTACCCATTGGCGTAGGTAATGTCGCCAATGTGGAACACTATGTCTATGTTGTCAAGGTCCTTGATTAGTGTATCAGTAGTGTTAAGTGACCCAGGCTGGTAGTTGGCGTATTCGTTGCTTCCATCCCTCTCGGCCTATCGTATTGATGTCATAAAACAGCGATAAGCCGATAAGGACTATGCACTGAGAATGTGAAATATTTGTTGGACACAATCATGTAATAGTCATCCATAGCAATCTTCATATGTTACCTTTCCCATATCTCCGAAAATAACAACACGCTGCAGTGACTTCTGACCAGGATAAGGAGGTGCTTTGAAGGAAGATAATTTGCCCCAAACAACACTTCCATCTGGCAGCATATGCCCAATTTTGTAGTAGTACCTGGTCAGGGAACAAATACAAGTACTCAGGAAACTAGTGTTCGAAACTGAGAAAACTTTCTCCAGGAGGCAAGAATTTACTCTTTATTTGGCCACAAGTCTGTTAGAAAAGCTGTGTGTATGAAACCAGGATCTCTCCAACCTACAGAACGAGCAGGATCTCCTGCACAAGTACAGTTAGACACTTCAGGTAACAAACTGAAACTAAGCCTTTGTTTAGTTGTAGGAATTTGGATTTTGGGGCTACTGTAGCACGTTCGTTTTTATTTGGCAAATAATGTTCAAATATGGACTAATTAGGCTCAAAACGTTCGTCTCGTAATTTCCTACCAAACTGTGCAATTAGTTTATCTTTTCGTCTACATTTAATGCTCCATGCATGGGTCGCAAACATTCGATGTGACAGGTACTATAGCAACTTTTTGGAAGTTGGGGTGGAACTAAACACGCTGTAACATTGTTCCCCAGTAAAAGATTCTCAGTATCCTGCAGTTTCTTGCCATGGATATCAGGTAAACAGCTTGGAGGCTTACTAAATACAGTAGAATGGACTCAAACTAAATTGGGACAGCAAGCTACCAAAATGAGCATTTCATGTCTCCAGCAAATATCTAAGGAATATAATTTTGTATTTTTCTCTCAGTAACCATTTTTTTTCTGTGCTACTGGATAGAATGTTCATATAAGCCATACCGCAGATGCTATCACGATCAAAAGTGACAGTGCCAGCTGCAGTGCGTACCGGGGGGCTCCATTCTATTCCCCATTCGACAAAGGGATATGCCTCATTGATATCATAGCCACTTGTCCATGTTACAGTCATCTAGCCAACATACAAGAGAAATTTGAGAGCGTGCATAGTTGCAATTGGACCTTCTAAGCTAGATTCCCCAGCTTCAGGCATAGAGGAGACAGGAGAGAACAACCAACCTCGTTCCAGGATTTTCCTTGCGCTAGGCGTGGATAAACTGGAGCCTTTGGGTTTGCAAAAGCAATAGCATTTGATACTGCAATAAGTTTCGGCTGTAAAAGAGAAATAGATGAAGTCAGGGTCATTGCTTTCCATCGAATGATATAGAAGGGATAGCATGACACTGCAGTGCCTTATGCAGTAACTGACATTCGAGAGCCCTCCAGTGAACAATGCAAATGAAAAGTCTTGCCGCTGGTTGATCAGCTGAAACTTCAGTGCCCCTTTCCCGGACTTGCCATAATCTGATGAATAATTTGTAACCTGATACTGAAACCAACATATAAGAAGATTTAAGTCCTATATTTATCAGAAGAATGTGAAGATTACGCATTTATTTGTTTCATCTGACCTTTATTGGTGCTGAGCATATCACAGGACCTGGGCCAGATCCGTGAGAACCAGGGCATGTGGATGCGCTGCAAGAAAGTGAAGAAACCTATTAGATCATGATTGCCACCATACAAAAACTCGCACAATAAAAATGAATACCCTGTGTACTTTCAACTTGAATTGAGATGATGTAAACAAGCATACTTGAAGTTTGAAGGAGAAAATACGCCAATCCAATCATCATCACTTGGATGGGGAATAACAAAATCAACGTTCACCCAGGCAGTATCTTCGCCCTGTGAACAAAACGCTGTCATATTTCTTTTCTTGCAGTAAAGGGTTGACAGGAGTAGTATTTCAAAGATACAAGGTATTTGTCAAAAGCTCCTAAGCTGCGTTTTCAAATGTTAAATACTCTCTCCGTTTCAAATTATAAGATGTCATAGCTTTTCTAGATATATTATCTTTTCTATATATTTAGACATAATGTATATCTAAGTGCCTAGCAAAAACTATATAAGTAGAAAAGTCAAAATATCTTATAATTTAGAACGAAGAAAATATTTTTTTTCCTAATCAAAGAATCAATGACCTAAGATCTACTTGATTTTCGTCACATAAAAAAATTGGCCGTTACAATTTACAAACACACTACTACATATACTTCATCACCTTTGGCTCAAAAACTGCCTTCACAATCGATTTCGCGAATCGACGGTAAACAATGGACAGATGTGGATCTTCCTCGAATCTGCTGGGGCAAACAGAGACCTCGAGTCCTCAACACGAGGACCTCCTGCGCGGATAGCTACATTATGTCGTGGCAGTGGGTGGCATACCATGTTGGGCGGACTAAAGAATGGACCACCATAGCTATGCAAACACAATGGAGTCCACAGGCGGGGTCCAATATATGGTTCTCAATCCGAAGCTTAGAGGGTGGATTGGCACCTGGAAGACGGATGGTTAGATGGGAATGGTGCTGGGTTGGGACAATAAGCTTTTTCACATTTATGGAACAGAAATGCTAAACAACACTCGGTTGTTTTAGAGCTCCGAACACACGATTTTGGGAGCGTCCGATCCGCACGGGGACGCGGTGGAGGCCGTCCAATTCCCCAATGCTTGTGCCCACGACTCCTTCCTCTCTCCTCTCCGGTGGCGGCGGCAGCGGGTTCCGGCAGAGCCAACCTCCTCCTCCTCCTCTTACTCCTCCTGGATCCGAGCCCACTAGAGACAAATACGATGGCGGCGGTGGCTAGGGTTCCGGTGAGCCTCTCCCCCTCTTTCTTCTCCAACACTGCCGGCAGGACAGGCGGTGGGATGGTGGCCGGACGGTTTAGGGGGCCAGGTGGCGGCTGGGCTAGGGAGGGGCAGGGGCGTCGCGGCATCGGCGGCAAGGATGGCCATGGCGGAGCTCCGGTGAGGGGGGAGGGGGGAGGGGAAGAAGGCGGCTGCCGCGGGTGCTAGGGTTCACTGGAGCTCCGACGCGCTAGGGCCAGCAAACCCTAGCGCCTGCGGTGGGGCGGTGGTCAGCGGTGGGGGTGAGGATGAGCAGGAACAATGGTGGGAAGTTGGAGGAGGAAGAAGAACAGTGCCAAAAAAATCGGGTGTGGGGTTGGGGGCGAAACACACGAATGACAGATAGCAAGACTCTTATGGAATGCTAGTACATTGGTCTCGTATTTCATACGCTAAATTTGATCTAATATAAGATAATTTGACTTAGAACAACTCCAAATCTCATAATATTTTAGGAGAGAGAAGTGGAGTGATATGGAGGTTAGGGCCACGGTCCTAGGCGCGACCAAAAGAATAATCTAATATCTGTTGATTTTTTTTGGCACAAGTCAACGTGACCTTAGGCATGATACAATTTTCTAATCGCTCAGCCCACCGAACCGTGGAACAAAAAAGATATATGCATTCCTAGTGCAGGGAAGCTCCTGTGCACCATGATTTGGATACCGGTCACGCATTGGAGGCATGATTAGCGAAATCACTGGGCGAGAGAATAAGCTACGGAAAGAATGCACAAGAGGAATATCATCCAACGGTGTAGAGATTTTTTTCCCGAACCGCCCTTCTCCTTAGGGATGGAGAATAAAAATGGATATCTGAATTATCCGACATTCATATCCCTTAAAACTTGTAATATGAAAATCTGTGTTCATATATGTTTCTAACATGGATACTAAACGAATGTATCCAAGTTCGTTTTTTCAATATTTTTCTCTTTCCAATTCAAGATCGGTGTCCATGTTCGATAAAAAATATAAAATATCCAACATTTATCCAAAGAACAAGGTATAATGAATTTATTTAAAACTTGCTCTCCATAATTAGTGACTAGTTATTTAATTATAATATTACGAATGATATATTGATACTATTTAAAAATATATCTATAAATAAATTTGAATATTAAATTAATGTTATTTATGATACATAAAGATTAAAATTTAGTTTAAACCTAATATATTTGTTGTCGTAAATTATTTTAATACTTTAGTTTATTCATTTCTGATGTAAGTTATACAATTTATAATTTCATGATAAATATTATATAAATAATGATTGATTAATTGATATATTAATTATTAATATTTATTGATAATTATATTATTTTTTATGAGCTATCTTGTCTATGCTATATACCCACATACTTTATTCTTTATCTGTGTAATAATTTTGTAATTTAAAAACATGGTAGAGGAAAATGGCTACATGTTGCCTACCACTCTTATTTGAATTATTCAATTGATCAATCATTTATTAAATATTATCCATTATAATTTAGTTCACTTTGGGATTACTAGAAGTGTACTTTGATTTTATTTTACTTTAGTTATCGATGAGCTTAGTAGTAAAATTCTATTATGTATGTTGAATTTAACAATATGCACTTTGAGAGTTTGAGTTGAATTGAGTAAATATCTGAATGAGAATTCGAATCCGAGACATCATTTTTGTATTCGTATTAAAACCCGCATAGTATTTGAATTTAAATTAAAATGTAGTGAAAGGTGATATGAGAATCTGATTCTATACCATCCGTTGCGTCCCTACTCCTGTTCTGTCTTTTCTCGCCGTCTCCGGTAACCTGCTTCTCCCGTGCGTCTTGCGTGCATGGATCGGGAACTCTGTGCTGAGCACTGAGCACCAGTAGAGATCGACCAACCGCTGGCGCGGGGTCCGAATCAAGCAAAAGCATAGCAGCAGTAGGCGGTGGCCAAGGCCTGGGTGCTGGACTGGCGGAGCTGGCTTGGACCACTGCCAGAGGAGGTACCGAGGTGGAGACAGAAAAGCACAGCTCAGCAAGACGCCGGAAAGCAGTGCCAGCGACAAACAGCCAAGCTAGCCAGCCAGCGCCAAGAGCCCAAGCGCCAGCAGGTATTAGAATTCCCCAATCTTGCAATCTAGGTCTTTATTATAATTTCCTAATACGGAGTATTTATGAAAATTTCTTTGAGTTCTATATTTAGAAGGGTGAAGAGGACAAGACACTGAAATCATTTGATTGATTATTAATTCCCATGTTATTACACCTATTTTGCAACCAAGGTCACCAACAATATTGCGACATATCAGCAGAATTGATGACTTATCATGTTAATTACGAAGAGAGGGATAAAGAAAGTTTCACAAAGAGTTTTATCTGCATGAAACCTGTTCATAAAAACTGATGTGGCAGTCTTGGTATCCACACCATGAAACTCACCACTTTGACTGGCCTAACAACAACTATGAAAAGGATGAGAACTAAGCAGATCACCCCCAAATCGACCGATCAGACATGTCAGAGACTCAGAATAAAAGAATTCAACATGTTTGTAGAGGTTTACTCGTCGTGGCATCTAAACACTGTGGGTCTATTTGGAAGAGCTTCACATATGTACAACCAAATCTAGAGCACCAGATCCACTATGGAGCAGTTTCTACGGTGGATTTGGGATCCGGCTAGTGCTAGAAAAATTATTTGAAAGAGCTCCACGGCGGATCGATCGGGCTAGCCCAAAAGCTAGCCAATTGCATCCCATAAGTCAGAGCTCTTCCTCATCCCCTCCCTCTTGAAGGAAGCCGAGCGAGAAGCACACAACGGATGCAAGGTGTGGGCACGCAAGGCGGACAGAAGCGGCGCCGGGAAGGAATCGTGAAGCCGCAAAAATGTTGGGGAAGGAAGCTGCCTGGACAGAAGCGCACCGGGGGAACGAATCGTGTGGCCTCGGCAGCGCCGAGAAGGAAGCTACAAAGACAACAGCGACACCATGGAAGGAAGCGATGGCGAGGAGCAGAGGCTGTAGCGAGTGGGTACATCTGGGCGAGCACAACGTCGTCGGAGGGGAGGGCCGCATGTCGTGCAAGGTCAGTGTAGTACGATGCGCGGCGCAAATGGGCTCGCGGCGATGGGAAAGAAGCGAGAAAAGAAAGAATGAACCATTATTTCTCTGTAATCAATAGTATGGTGGGTAATTTTGGATAACTTGAAATTCACGAGTTTTCGGAGCACTCCATGAAATCTATAAATCTGACCCCAAGATCTGATCATTTTTTTGTGCATCTGGATTCTTTAGAGTTGAGAAGTTTAGCTTAAAAGAAGTTAATGTAGAATTTTTTTTCATAGATCTAGAGCTGCTGGAGCACTTCCAGATGGAATCGTTTTTCACAGATGAGAGGGGAACAAACACCAGGGGATCACATGCATAAAACTATCCATGTCATTTCACTTGTCATGGTGGCAAAATACATTGTGTGACGTACATTTGATCGTAAACGCATATATTTTATAGTTTAAAAATGCACCTGTTTTTTTTTATTTTGCAACTTGTTAGAGCAAAGTGATACAACCACACAAGTTGTATGGTGAATGTAATTTACTATTCATTTATTTACTAGCAAACATATCTATGTGTTTTACTGAACTTAATATGTTTTGGAATTTGACTCTTTTTCATAGGTGGATACGAGTTATTCTAACTTAGACCATGTTTGATAAAGCTCAAGCTTTTTTTTTCACTTAACAAATGTTTCGAATGGTCCTCCTACTAAACCATTTGGTAGGGCTCCTCCGTTGGAGTCGGAGTCAAAGCCAGAGAGGAGCCCTACCAAATGTCAAATGGGGTCTTACTCTCTCAGTCCCTTTTTTAAGTCGTCGTTCTCGCTTTTTGGGAAGTCAAACGTACTTAAGTTTCAAAATATATATAATAAAATATTATACATGATTAGTATCATTAAATTAATCATTGAATCTATTTTTAAAATAAATTTATTTTGGGATACAAATGTTACTAACATTTTTTTTATAAGTCTAGTTAAGCTTAAGAAAATTTGACCAACGTAAATATCGTTGCGACACTTAAAAAAGGACACGGGTCACGGATCCTGATCACGTACAAATACGATGGGAGCGAGGATAATTTGAGAAGTAAAAAAATAGGGGGGAAACGGATTGGAAGAAACACGTGCTTATTAGGTATAGATTTGTTTAAGTTGTTCTTCTGAAAACAAAGGAGAGGCAAGAGTACAGATCTCACTTCTATTTTATTTACGAACACCTCCTGCCAGGAATTAAATACAACTCTACATGTACATATATGAATGCATGGAGTCTAAGTTTGATGGCTGGAGGGCGCGAATATTCGGAGACGCGGAAATACTGTTCTTAATTGGAGGCCCCAGTCAAACCCAATAATTTGGCAGTCAGTATTGGACTTGAAATAATTTATACTGAGATGACGCGGAGAAAGTGTGCATGCCTCTCAGCAGCTCACTCCTTGTCCTTGGAAGGGTCATTACGAAACCGGCCATGACCTGCGGCCATTTGGCCAGCTACTGCTCTCCCCTCCGTTATGGCCTAGTATGGCGTATGCTGCAAGTGGACGCAAAAGAAGGGCCCCATTGCGTTGCGCTCACGAAATCCTACTGCAATGGAGTTGGTTTCATCCCCTTCAGAGGTCTACGGTGAATAATGGATTTAGGTTCCTTTTTTATTGGATTTTGATTGATGGGATCAAAAAGAGGAACTATACATTGCCAAATGCTTTCCCTAGGATTCTTCTTCTAATTTGTTGGTTAATTTGGTCATTCGTTTTAACGCAATGCAAGCCAGTCTGGCAGTCTCTAGAGAGAATGGACTTTTTCAGCAGCGCAAGAATCCAAGGATGAGCAGGCGACGGGCGGCACTTGGAAGAATAATGCATAATTCCAAGCACGCAGGTCGCAGAGATATGACAAAAAAAAAAAAAAAATCTAAAACATCTGAATTAATGGCAGAGGCATATGTATGTACATACCTTGGTTCCCAGCAGCTCCGGCGAGGCCCGCACCGCGGCGGCCGCGTCCAGCGCGACGCGGGCGCGGTGGATGGCGATGCGCGACAGCGGCTGCACGCCGCCGTGCCCCGCGGCCGCGGCGGCGAGCAGGAGCAGACACGCCAGCCGCGCTGCGCCTTCCGGTCTCATGGCGATGCTATCTTTCTTTTTGAGATGCTCTTTAGATTAGATCGAGACTGGAGATTGGAAATTAAGGAGAGCACCGAGCAGCTTCGCGGCCGTGCCGTTTTTATGAGCGCACGCTACGTCTACGTGTGGGACTGCTGGAGAGGTGGGAACTCAAACGAGACGGGGGGAGTTGACTCGGGCGGAACGCGGCGCGGTACAGCGGTGTCCAGTTTCGCAAGGGCTCGTAGAGATTCCCGCCCCGCCGGATGTAATATGCTTGTGTTTACATTTTGATTCACGCGGCGTACAAATCAATGGAGAGGAGGAACTTATATGCTTTCGGATGCCCCGAAATTTGGTGTCCTCAGTCCTCACGCGCTGATTAGCTGATACTCCATGTGTCCCAAGCTTCAATTTAGTTTAACTGAATACAATATGGAATCGATAATGATACGAACCAGACGTCCAGGCGGCCGGATGCACCAATCCCCTCCGTCCCCGCACGCACTCGCTCCCGGGCCGCCCTTGGGACGGGATGCCGCGCCCCGCCTGCCCGTGCTCCCTCCCTCCCTCCATGTCTCCCCCTCCGTGACCTCCATGTGACTCGCGCTCCTAGCGACCCGGCTCCCTCTCCCCTCACCGGAGACGAGGACGTTGGCGGCGGCTCCGACGAGGTAGGTCGGTTCTTCTCCGGATATGATCCCTCCTCCTCCTCCTCCTCTGGATCTGAGGGACGCGGTGGAGGCTAGGGTTCTGGCGAGCTCTGGGGGTCCTATACCCTTCTCCCCCGGCAAGCTCGAAGGTGATGGGCCATGGCGGGAGCAGCCCGCACCTCGAACCCATCCCCTTGCTGTTCGTAAGCCGTTGCCGTTTTCTCCATATTGCAATAGGTTTTTTTGATGTTCCAACAGATGATTTTCGAATGTTGCAATGGGATTTTTGGTTGTTGCAACATATGATTTTCGAATGTTTCTATTTTTCATGTTCCATGGTTGACTTTGCGATGTTGTAGCACTATTATTTGAGATGTTGCAGTACATAATTTTCGATGTTGTGGTACATAATTTTCGTTGTTGTAGTACATATTTTTCGATGTTACAGTACATGTTTTTCAATGCTACAATACATAGTTTTACGATGTTGTAGTATTTATATTAAGATATTGCACTACATAATTTTTTTATATGTTTGTGATATTGTACTTGAAGTGTTTCGTGCTCTTTGGGACAGGGGCGGTGGCGGAATGGGGGCGCGTTGGGGAATAGAGACACGAGCGCGGTGGGGAACAGAGGACACGGGCGCGATGGACGCAATTCCATTCCATTATGTTCCGATCCGATTCTGCGGGTGGCGGGCGGTTTGGGAAGGGGAGCGGCGTCCGGACACATTGCTCGCGCCGGTCGTCCGAGCGTTAGATGCCTGATATGGAATATATTATATTATAATATTCCTCTTTGATGTGGTACATGTTAATACTCTTCTCTATAAATGTCGTCAAACTATGTTAAAATTTAGTAAAACTTAGCATAGTTTAACTTAGGATAAACTTAGATCGGCGGAACTATGGGTGCCAGCAGGGTCTGTGGCGTCCCTTAATCCAAGTCGCTGGTTCCGCCACTGATCACTTATATTTTAGGTTTGAGGGGGCAACAAATTATATGGTCGATCTTTCATGGATATTGACACCAAACCATACTTAAGGAAAGTCCCAGGAGTTCCAAACACCACTGTACAAAATATTTTTTTGTAACAGTATCTTTATCATCAATTTGTTAAGAATCATTTGTGGTAAATGTTTATCGCTGGTTATTGGAACCAATGACGAAAATGATTATCATCGTCAGCTTGTGTCCTGAACTAGTGGTGATAATAATTTTCACCGCTGTCTCCCGCCACAAAGCGGTATGAAAATGTGTGCGGTGCAAAAACATATTCCTTAGAACATGGGCCCACTCTAAAACACCAAGCACAACATACGTATAGGAAAGTGTAGAGACCATGAGGCCTAAGAGGGGCGATGAATTAGGCAGCATAAAACTACTTCTTATGGCCTGTAATTTCAACTTACGCAAAACCTATGAAAGAAAAAACTATCTAGATCTGCAATTAAGGTTTTACTATAGGTGTGTTGCTATCTCTACCGCAAAAGAATTTTGCAACCTAGGTGTGCGACCAAGATCCTAAGGGTTCCACAGGACTGACTCCTTGCCATGGGCCTGGGCTGGCTCACGGTCTGCTTAAAGATACGAAACAAGGTGGCGTGATCTCCAAGCTATTAAGGACCAACCTAGTCAAATTACTAGGAAAGTTAGTCTCTGTAATAAAACTAGAACTCCTCTGTTCTAACCGACTAGGACTAGATTAGTGCACCTCCCCTCTAGACTATATAAAGAGAGGCAGGGCCATCCCCTTGTACACACAGCATACGAAACAATCCAACGCAAAGGCATCATGCCGAACTGGACGTAAGGTATTACGCTATCCTAGTGGCCTGAACTAATATAAATCGCTATCTTTGCATTTACCATCAAGTTCTGCATATACCGAAGCCCTTCAATCATTGCCCGGGTAACCTCGTGACGTGTTGTCGGTCCTCAAACACTGACACTAGGTTCGAATCTTATTCACTAGTTTATCAACTAAACTAGAAAGGTAAAGCACACAACCAAAGTACACAATGTAAATGATAGAGATGCAAACTCCCGTTCGACGACGCCAATATTTTTATCAAGGTATCGTGAAACACACAAGCTTCCCCCTAGTCCTCGTTAGAGCCCCTCGCAAGGAAGCCCTCGTAAGGTCCAAGCTCCCAATCAGGTAACTCTGTAGATACCCCTATGCCTTCCCCACGCGTAAGTGGCTCTCCGGCAAGCCTCTCCCGGACCGCTCCCCGCCGTCTTCACTATCGAGCTTCTAGCCAAACCGCCACAGGCCTCGTTCCCCCTGGTACACGGTGGTGACCACACTATAAATACGGTTGTTGTGGTCTCTCAAGACTACAAACCCCTCCGAGTACAAATATGGTGTGTGGAAGCACCTTACTTTTTGAGGTATGCAAACCTCACTAAACACTAGGCCTAAACCTAGAGCAAGCATAATTAAAGAGGTCTAACTAGCCTAAGCACTTTACAAAACACCTACACTAATCACCTATCTTCTCTTAAGCACTTGTGGTGTTTAGAGCACTTGGTGGGATGTCTGGACACTCCTATCTCTTCAACACACTCCATCGACCTCAAAATGGTTGGCCATGGGGGTATAAATAGCCTCCCCAAACAATAGAGCTGTAGGAGACTTGGCACACATTTCTGTGTGACCGTCAGACCGTCTAACAGTGGTCAACGGACAGTCCGACTCCCCACTCCCATGACTAGCCATTGGAACTAGCCACTGCTACTGCCGACCGTTGCCGACCATTGGGTCACTGACAGCTGGACCCATGAAGCGCATGGTACGACGCCATGCATCGGCGTAGTCCAACACCCCAAATCCTTCTTTGGAACCTCTCTAGACACCGTCGGATGCTGGCGCAATTGGTTCAACGCCCGCACTCTTCACTTGGTCCAACGTGTTTTGTAGCGATGAACAGTGGGACCGATTGGTCCGGCGCCCTTGTTCCACCTTGGTCCGACGCCTTCTGCTGAAAGTCGCATGCTAGGGTTTGTTCAGCCTTATTGATCTAATGCCCTCAGGGCCTGACGCTCTGCAACACCCTTTCTCAACTTGTTTCTTCATGATCTTTGTGTCTGGCTTGGTTCCATCTTGTGGCTTGAACTTTTGCTTGTCTTTAAGGTATTCAACAATGCTTCTAATGTCTTGCTTGAGGTTTTGATCCTCTAGATCACCTCGTCACCTAAGGCCAAGTCCACTTTTGCACCTTTGAACTATATAAAAAATACACTAGCAAATTATATTAGTCCAAATGGTCATGTTGATCATCAAACATCAAAATCCAAACTAAATGGGCTAAGGGTCCATTTTCCTTACAATCTCCCCCTTTTGGTGCTTGATGACAACATGACCAAAGCAAGCAAATAATATATACAAAAATTAAAATGCAATCTACTTTCTAGGATGCAATGCAAAGGCAAGATTATATGATGCTAAAAGATACTACTTGTAACAAATATTGAGAACATATGTTTCCATTGCCAATGTCCCCTTGTGTGGTATTATGGACTTAAGCCTCCCCATAACTTCATAATCTACTTCCTCCCTTTCTTGGACCATCTCCCAAAATAGGTTTTTCCTTATTTTTCTTTACAATCTCCCATAACCACAACCACTTGTACCATCCAATGCTAGTTGTATGCTTGATACCACTTGCAACCTTGAAAATTTTTGAATTTGTGGATTTTGGTATTTATTATGGGGTGGGCTTGCTTTTGGTCCTACAAATTCTCCATCTTTGGAATCAAACACCAAAAAGGAAGACATTAGTAGCACAAGGGAGGGTAAAAATTTATGATCCTTTATATGTGGATGGAATTGATCACAAAACTTGACTCTCACATTACATAGACTAAGCTCCTCATAAGTATATGCATACATATGGTGTATAGCAAGGCATATGCATAATCGGCAAATTAATGCACAAGAGAGTTTAATCTATATAATGCATGGAGAAATCATAAAAGATACCAAATTGAATATCAACATAATGACATCGATTTATGGATACCATATGTAGAAATCCATTTGGATTGATACCAATTGTAGGACTTTGAAGGAATGATGCTTATCTCCGAGGACTCCATTTTTCTTACAATGAGACTACTACACACATGATAATCTTGAAACAAGAGTTAATCTCAAAGCTTCCAACTTATAGAGTGACCTCCCCCTAAAAGTTTGCATACAAGCATGGAATACTTGGAGACATGCACATTAACTATTAAGGTCAAAATAGCACTTGAAAGATGACACCACTTGAAGGTGGGAATCATTTTTACGGGTGATATTTGGGGTAAGTTATCTACAATTTGGGCTTTGGCACATATAAGATAAACCAATAGAAAAAA